CTGTGTTTTCAAACGTGTTTTTGAGAAATGTGCTGGTTGACTTGTGCAGACATAATCTGAGCCATATGCACACCTCTGAATGTCACAAGGAAGGGCCAGTGATGTCCTTGTGGTTCTGTGATGTTTTTTTCCAATTACATTCTGTGAATGTTCTGCAGGTTTACTCATGCAACTCTCTGAGAACTTCAAATAAAGACATTTTCTCTCCACTGCTCCACTCTTTTTTCTTCTCAGTACAAGTGCCATTATGCTCATCGATTCATACGCCCTATTTAGTGTACTTTAATGATCTGTATCTTTTGTGTCCATAAAGACAGAATCACTTTCACCAACCGCTGTAAATTTGAAACCTGAAGTGAAGTGATGTGAGCACCACCTGCAACAAATAACACATGATAGTATATAATATTCTACAGTACAACTTTTCTTTCTCAACAATAATATTCACCTATAGCACCTATACAACAGACCCATAGCAATAATTTTTTGATTTGAGTCGTTAAGGCACTTTTGACCCACCAAACCCCTATAGGACTACACTAATTGGTCAAAGAAATGAACTGAGTTTAGAACTGGGCAATGTCTGACTAAAGACATGCCCTGCTGATCAACTAAAAAATCTCCTTTCTGCTGTAGTCCCATATTAATCCTTATATCTATATCTATATCTATGTAAATAAAATGATAAATTGACTAATAAACATTTTGGTCGGCTAAGACACCTTTGACTTATTAATCGACTAAACGACTAAAGGCCTTAGTGATATAAACATCCAATTAAACTGTTCTTCAAGTAAACCTTAAGGCAGTTCTTCTGCTTTCCTGTATTTTCATCCTTAACATTATTTAGTGCACTCAGTTTGAGTCATAAATTAAATGTTTCAACATTTATATTGTGTTTATTGTGCATTCCATCAACACAAATGATATTGTGTTTAATCTGCGATTGCCGTATGAACTGACTTCCGATCATGTAGCTTGATTAGATAACAATATAACAATACTGTAAATCTTAGACAATATTCAAAAAGTCTTATTCAGCCATTATCACTCTATAGTGACAGAATTATACTGTATGTGAATCTTAAAGTGCAGTTTTCATGTTATTCTAAATGTCTTTGTATAAGTTACTTCCTGATGGCTTCATTGAACCATCGAACCTGGCTTGTGCTCTTCAGGTGGGTGGAGGAATTCAAGTATCTCAGGGTCTTGTTCGTGAGTGAGAGGAAGGATGGAGCGTAAAATTGACAAGCGGACCATTGTGGTAAAGAAGGAGCTTGGGGGTCCCACCGGAGCAATAGGAGGAAGTGTCTAGGGTGAGGGAAATGGATGGATGGAAGTTACTTTGTTTGATGGGAGTACCAAAGTTAAGCATATTTATATACTATTTTTAAAAGTTTTGTATCAGTCAAATGGCTATTTTTTAAAGATAATAGGTATGGAATTATACCTCCACTTGTGCTGCATGTCCAGCCAGGAAATAAAAAAATATGAAGCTGGGTCTTGGAAAACTAGTTTGTATTTGTATTTAATAGTAAAACATACACGAATGAAGAGTATAACAGAATAGTGACATGTGCCAACATGGATGCAACTATTGCTTCTCTTCTTTTTCAGGCTCAGCAGTTGGTTGGTTCAGATGTTCCTCTTCCCTATTCTGCAAAAAGCACTCCTACGTGTCTGTAATGCTCAATTAAGCACCACTACAGGACACTGATTCTGCAGGGGCACATCAATTAAACTCTTTATAGAAATAGACCTTCTGAACTTATCACACAGCATATGATGGGAACAGTCAAGAGACAGCATGAGAAGTATGCAGCAGTAATGTAATCTATATTTAACTTCAAAGGAGTGCCAATGAAAGGGGAAAACAAGCGCCAGTTTAGGAGATTATATGCCTTTGAGCTCAGTGCTTTGAATTTTCCCCCTTTTTTGTCATCCAAATTTCTTATTTTTGCACTTGGCACTTTGACGCTTTGAAAATATAAATGACTCTGTAACAATTCCAATATTCCTTTTCCTGTGTGTAAGGGTGAGTAGAGATATTTGTGTGTGTGTTTCAATAGTTTTTTGTTTTTTTTTAAGAATCTTAAATCAGTAAGAAAGAACAAAAAAAGAGGATTTGTCTTGAGGCTGGACCGGCCATGAATATAAAATGAGTTTTCTTCAGTCCTGCTGGCCCCATAATAGCCCCTCTTACATGTTCCACTCCAACCCTCCACCTAACTTCTCAAGAAACCACCCATTATTCACTCAAACCAGGTAAAAGGTTTCACAGCATTTCAAAATGAGCTATAAGTACAGCATGTATGAGTAAGCCAATTACACGAATCAAGAATCTTTGTTCTTTCTCAGATGCTCTGAACCCAGTAGACTGATGCTGAGTGTATTTTTTAATTACATGTTTTAACCATGAGATTTCTTCATCATTAGTGTACTCTACATTGTATTCTGATGAGGCTTGAGTGCTCTTTCTTTTCACTTATCTCCTATCCCTTTCCACATCCCTGTACCTAATTGCAATTACTTGACGAGTCATAGACATTAGGTTAAAAATGTTTCGAAAATAAAGCCGCACAAATGAAAATGTATCACTTGTTATTGTGGCTTTCCCCTCTAAAAGACTCAGCAGATGCGGCTCACTCTTAACAAAATATAAATTAAGAACCTACATATGTTATCATTTAATACTATGTACCAAAAAAAGCATAATATTCTTCTGAGAAAATCATATTTAGGACTGCTACTGCCATGAGAGACTCTTTGTGGTCGCTGCTCACAGTAACATTACCTGAGACTGGTGCGAGTAAATAGACTAAACCTGTCACATGACCTACAATTCATTTTCTTACTCAAGTTATTAATTAACATGAATCTTAAATGCACTGAGCAGGAAGTTGTCCTCTTTAACTGAGCAATGCAACCTTTGCCCACAATAATTTCAGAAGGAGCTTAAAACAGAGAGAAAAAACCTCACAGATTTGGATTCTCGGTTGGAGAAAAAGAACATATCTGAGTGTGAAGCCATCTAACAGGTAAGGCTGTAACTTTAAAAAAAAAAATCTATATCTATATCTTTATTTAAAATCTGTGACACAAGATCAAAGAAGGAATCCTGCGACTGTCTATGAGTTTAGAACAATTGTCTGAGGAATTTACTAAAGCCTGCGACAACATGACAATAATTAGAACAGAGATATTATAATATGATGAAAAAAGAATGTAATTAAAGAATAAACACCAGTTTGAATGTCCAAACGAAAAAAAGAAAAGATAACTTAAAACAAGTGTAAATACTTCTACAGTTTAGGTTAATTATCTTTGAACAGTTTCTATATAGGGAGTCTTATAGTCTTTATATATGCAGTATATATAAAGATATTAGAATTATCTTTGTCCTTAAGTCATTTTATTCTTTCCAAAAACAACCAAATTAATTTGACATTATTGAACCTTTTCTTGTTGTAAGGTGTGTGTTGTAAGTGTATTTTTGTTCATTGCAGTTCATGTGAATTTGTATGGGGAAAGGTGGTTTGGCCTAATATTTAATGAATATGTATGATGGATCAAAATGCCTGATCAAGCTTTAATTTGTTTTTCAGGAGGAACAAAGATGAGTCAGGGGAGCTGCTACCTCACAGTGGTACTTTTGTTCATTTCTGATCTTTTGGAGAGAGACGTGAAATGTGCTCCAATTTCTGAGCTCTATGGAGGTCCACAAAGACATCTCCTATCCGAAGTACTGGATACAGAACTTGCAAGTCCAGCTAAAAATGTCTCAATTGAAAGTAAGTGGCACAAATGCCCTCATCATGTTTTACAGTGCAGTGCTATTTACAACCAAGTGTTTGTGAGTGTGGACTTTGCCCTCTCTGTGACCCCGTAACTGTAGAGTGACCACCTTATATTGCAGAAAAAGAAAGCGAGAGAGACAAAGAGGTTGAATATGGTTGATGACACACTCAGGAAATTTAAGATCATAGATAATAAATGCAATTACACCATGTGATTTTAGTTTTAGGTTTTCACAGAATGTGAGATTGGAATTGCTTAAGTGTCAACATATTAAACTCAATCCCCCCAAAAAAACAAAATCATGTTTTATTTGTAAATCTCACTTATTTACATATATATAATTAATGTGGTATCAATTAAAGAGTGGGGCATTCTCTTAATAAATGGGATGAGGGAAAAGGGTGTGAGTGGCTATGCAGATCAAACAAAAGAGGGACAAGTGCTCACCCTTACAGTGTGAGGGAATGACAGTACTTTTTGTTTTATTGCAGGGGCTGTTGCATCAGAAGGGGGAGTGAGATCTGTGCAGTGGTCGTACTTAGCGGCAGGCCTGGGCACACTCCTCACTCTCTCACTCATTATAGTCATGGCAGTCAAGTTTCGGGTCTTCCATCGTTTCCTGGCCAGCTACAGACACTCGCTGCTGCAAGAGAGCGATGGGATAAGCCAGTATGGACAAGAGGAAGTGGGCTTCCCCAGCAGCATATCGTCCCGAGTGGGAATGGGTCCTGGGACACACACGGAGAATGATGATGATGATGATGATGGTTTTATTGAAGACAACTACATCCAGACGAGTGAGAGGCAGAGGGCAGAGAGGGAGGCACAGGACGAAGGGGAGGAAGAGGAGGACAGTGATGATGAACTGGACCTGCAGTTCACCATTGGCTGAAACAAGTCAACTGTACTGTTAGGACTGCGGTATATTCAAGTGTATAATTTCTTCTTCAAACTGAAGAGCATTTCACAATATGAAGTAAAACAAATCTGGTATCATTGTATGACAGAAACATGTTCACATACTCATTACCATAACTTGTGTTTTTTTTCACAGAACAAAAATCTATTACAATGTTTCTTTGATTTTATATTGTATAAATACACCTTATCTAGATTAGTAAAGATATTGTTCCACACATTACTTTTACAGTTATTTATTTATTTCAAAACTCCTACAGAAATGAGAAGAGGTGGAGATTGTCTTAAATGAGGCTGGTTCTGCTGGAAGACATGTCTCGGCTGGAGACACTGAATACTTGGACAGTTTGTCCACTCAGCGTCTGGACTCTGTGAGCCCTGTGTGTCCTCTGTCTCCTCTTAAACAGCATAAATATACAGAAGAGCCCCACAGCCAGAGTGAGAGCAGCCCCTGCAGACAGCAGCCCCACTCCACACAGCAGCATGTCCCTCCTGTCTCTGTCCCTGTGCACTGATCCCAGACAGAGCAGCACTGTCCCACACAAACACACTGTGCTGCCCACAGCCAAGAGCAGAGCAGGGTCTGCTCGGCCCCCGCTCCTCAGCTGGTCGATGCGTCTCCTGCTGCGCACACAGTTCATGTCCTGAATAGCAGAACTGAGCAGCTGCTTAAGCAGAACCACCAGAGACAGGAGGCATAGTGCAGTGCCCACAGCCAGGCGCCACTCCCCCGACAGGCTGGAGGTGGTGAACAAAAGCCCTACTCCTCCAAAGCCCAGCCCCAGGATCAAAGCCACTGAGGTGCAGTAACAGAGCAGAGACTGCCGGGGCTGTCTGAACCACCACAGCTCTATCTGCTCGTCTAGTACACGCTGATGGAACAGAGCCGGCTCCAACTGCAGCGGGCGTTGCTGATAAATCTGGAGATGTGCCATGTTCTCCACACCTGCTCAAACTACAATGTGACACAAAGAGCAAAACTAAAAAGTCTACTAAAACAAACTTCTGTAGAAGTGCAGACTAACAAACTTCACATATATCTACACAAAGATACTGTATAAACACTCCACCAAGCCATGTCTAGCATAGGTGGTCCATAATGTACACAAGTCATTACTTACATTAGGTGGGTGGTAGGCAATATTCTTCTGCTGCGTTCATCCCACCAGGCCACTTCATCTGAAGCACTTCAGCGACTCTCACCAGGTGACTTAGATTCATGTTATTCAGGGTAAGTCACTATGACTACATCCAGTCGATAAAAGGATGACATTCAAAGGTAGAAAAATCAAGCAGAGGAAAGATGTATCCTCCTTTCGCCACTTTAAGTTCCTGTTCTATAATGACTTCTTCTCACTTCCATAACACCTCAAGCTTTGACAACTTGAGACAGGCAGACCAGCATAGTCTTCACCTTTTATTGCTCATCACTCTTGTGGCTGCAGATCTAGAAAATCCACTGTCAGGATAGTAACAGACCACAATAGTAGCTTTGGACCATGGAAGTAATTGTCCTGTGATAGCCTTGCCCCAGGACAGACAATAGACATGGTGGTGTTGGGGAGAAGGCGGTCCCAGCCTGAGATGTGCTTGCTGTTGTGAAGGCCAGAGTGATGTCAGCGTGAGAGGATAATGGTTGTTCTGTGATCCTGGAGATAGCGTCATTCACAAAGATGTGCTAATGTTCAGATTAGGCACACTGGGTCTCCACAAGGTCATGACACTACACTGGTGATGTAGGCCTATCTTTATAATGACACTTCACTCCAGGATTACAAAGCTGTTTACATAGCATAATGCAACCATTGCCAGACTCACTTTATGTGCTGCCTTTTGGACACGAAGTTTGGGTTATGGATTATTTTATCCCTTATTGCCAGTTCTGTGTGAATTACCTTCGCACTTCCTCTGAGAAATATCCTCACTCCAGCCCATTCCTTGTACAGATTCACAGTAAGTGATGTGCGAACGCCCTCTAGAGGCTACATCGTGAGAGCATGCCTCAGCGCATATATATATATATATATATATATATATATATATATATATATATATATATATATATATATATATATATATATATATATATATATATATATATATATATATATATATATGAGAGAGAGTGAGACAGAGAGAGAGAGAGAGATTGTACCAGATTGTAGTACCAGTGCTAATTTTCACGTGTAGTCCCTGGGCAGGTTCATTCATAATAATAATAATAAATAAACATAAACATAAATAGTAAAGACTAAATACATAAATGTAAATTTCACTACTTTAAATGCTTAGATTAAGATTTTAGTTTCTTTTGTTAAATTGTAGGGAACATGCAACATGCTAGTTGTTGAAAATCATTAGGTTTATAATAAGAATCTTAGGCTACGTCAAAAACATTTTGCGGTTTTTTAATATATGTTAAATGTTAATGACATAAATGTAATGACCTCCTACAGCCACATGGTGGCGATATTACTCAATGTTCCAAGTTTTAGACGACATCGTTTATAACTAGCCTATTTTTAATTGACTAATTCAGACTATGCATTGTTATTTTGACCACTTAGCCAAATCTGGTCTACACAAGACCAAAGCATGCGATTTCACCATATTTCACTTAACAGCCTCGCCGCCACTTGTCCCGTGGTCGTTACTGAGCTGGAGCATTGTTGAGCGGTGTACTTAGAGCTTATTACTTCCCTGCACCTCGGAGCCCATCACGCAGATCGCTTTACTGTAAGTGGACCACGCAGTGGAATGATCCATGCCACAAGAGTCAATCCGGAGCTTTTAAACCAAAAAAAGCAAAGTCAGCACTTGGGTTAATTACCCTTGATAGTAGCTTCGGTCTCCTATAAACGTGAGCGGGAGGAGTGGAAGTCACATGGTCCCTTCATGCGATAAATAATAAACCTCCACGATATGGCAATACATGTGATAATAAATATGCTGCAAATTAAAAGAAGCAAATATGTTTACAATATCTCTATTAAACCACTAGGCCTACATATATATATATATATATATATATATATATATATATATATATATATATATATATATATATATATATATATATATATATATATATATATATATATATATATATATATATGGTGGTGGACATCGCAATACCAAGCGATGGTAATATCAGGAAAAAGGAACACGAGAAGCTAGAGAAATACCAGGGGCTCAAGGAAGAGCTGGAGAGAGCCTGGAAAGTAAAGGCATCAGTGGTGCCTGTGGTGATCGGAGCACTCGGGGCTGTAACCCCCAAACTGGAAGAGTGGCTTCAACAGATACCGGGAAAAACAACGGACATCTCAGTCCAGAAAAGTGCAGTACTGGGAACAGCAAAGATACTGCGCAGAACTCTCAAGCTCCCAGGCCTCTGGTAGAGGACCCGAGCTGAATGAGGGTGAGAGACCAACCACCGTGGAAGGTGAGAAACACATTATATATATATATATATATATATATATATATATATATATATATATATATATATATATATATATATATATATATATATATATATATATATATATATATATATATATATATATATATATATATATAGTTTTTATTTTGTGCTTCACTCTTCTGCCTTGGTGTTATGCCAAGATTTATAAAATAATGCAGGCTTGCATTGGTACCTTGCAAGGGTGGGTTGTGTACTCACTTTTACTCAAATACCTTTGAGACTTTTTGATTAAATTGTACTTCTAAAGAAGTTTTACAGTGAACCTCTTAAAGTAAAAAGTTTGATGCACTTACCAATGTGGGTCTACAAGTGGGAGTGCTGAGGTCCTCCATAGGGATGGTCACAAAACATTGTTTTGTGATGTTTGCCTCACTCTAATGACCTCACCTCAGCTGGGGATGCCTGTGCTTAGGTCCAGCCCAGACACAGTGACAAGTGATTTTGTAGCAAACTGGAGAATCATTTAAAAATTACCAAAGATTTTTTTTCTTTCTTACAGAAAACAAAATATAATCAATAAATAAGTACATAAAACTCTATTGCTCTTCTAAACTTATACAAACACCCTAGACCCCTTTCTCTGTACTGTAGAGGTGCACCGTGCTGAGGAAAACCTCATGCTGCTGCCATCAGGTAGATGATACAGAACCCCACTGGCTCACAGGAATATCTATAATAAATCATTCCTCCCCACTGCAGTCACTAAATAGCACCATTTTACTCTGGTCATATGATTGTATATGGTTTTATTATTACATTTCAATTTTGTCTTGAAACAGACAAATAAAGTATTCTATTCTTATCCATGCTGCTGTGCAAACATGACAACTGGCATAAACTAGCATCTTGGTCATGACTGTTGTCCTGTAACATTTGGCACTGGCAGACATGTAGTGGACAGCACAAAGGATTAACTTATCTCTGTTAAAATGACTGATTATGCTGTCAGCTCTAGTCATGGCCTATATTTGAACAGCAGCCTTTGTTCAGCCCCTAAACCACTGAAGCCACTATAAATAACATTATACCAATGCTTTTGATCGTTCATATACAGTACCATTTGTGCTGTAACAAACCAAGAATGTTGCAAGTTAGATTTGAGATGTCTCCTTATTGCCCCTTCCACTGAGAAGGTGAGTAACTTAATTTGCATATAGATGAGTAACAGTGTATTATTAGGCTATTGCTGAGGGCGGTATTAAAAAGAAATTGTTTAACAAGATTATGAACAAGGGACCTGCAGTGGTGGAACAGGTGGGAACCAGACACTAGGTCACATTTAAGTCAACTTTCAGTGAGGTTATTTTTCCTGGAATGTAAAAATAATTAAGAAGTTGTTATTTGTTTTTTTTAAGTTACTTGTATTCATTCACTTTGGGGAAATGGGTTTCGGACATTTCCCCCATAATGATCCTGCAGTGGGCTATGTCATGTTCACAGGTTTCTTTTAATGATTCTGTAGGCTATCTGATGATTATAGCGGTCCGGTCATTAAAAAGTCAGAAACCCAAACAATCTTTCTTTACTTTGCTCTAAACGTTGGGAGAGCGCCCACGAAAAAAACAACAACACTGATTTATTCTTTATCCCACCCACATCTGTTCGTCACGCGGGTTTGAGCCAACCAGGACCCGGGCGGCAGGACGGAGGCGGAGGCGCGGTGAGAAGCGGCGCGGAGGCTGGCGTCGCAGCGCTACAACAAGAAGAGGTCTGCTGTCGGGCTTTTGTTTAGTGGATGTGAATGAGCTCCATCACCTGCTCCAGAGATGTGGACGGATTTACGGACACTGTTACTTTTACACTCGCTATTTCTACGGCTTTATTTCACCGGAGGTTAGTGCGTAAAAATGCGCAAATTGATTTTCATTTGCCGTGTGGATCAAATGTGAAAATCTTCGTCCAGCTTGTTAATGAGCTGTGCAATTGGAAGCGCTTCTGTTACTCAGTCCTCGTGTTTCTCATATCAAACAAAAACACATTGGCTTTTATTTATCATAACTAATTCCAATGCGTAATGTATATTTTACCAGGTAGACTTGCGTAATATCACGTGGTTATTTTAGAAGAGGAAATCATTGGAGTGTTCAGTTTTCTGGTAGTGAGCATCCTTAGCCTGCCGCATCAAAGCTAGCAGCATGCACTGTACTCTTCTTTGCAGGGCATTGTGTCTCTTTCAGTTAGTTTAATAATAGCTTGTGAAAAGATAGTAAGTGCAAGAAACCCTGCCCTGACGCTCTGTGCTCCAAATCCAATTGACCTGAATGAATGCTGAATATCAATTAGGCATTCATTTGCAAATTACTCTTGGACTACCGCTACACTATCATGTTGTTTTAAATGTCCATTTGTCACTATTATGTGGTTCAGTCATTTTAATTATTTTATAGCAACGGATGAGTGTGAAGATGGACAGTTTCAGTGCAGTAACCAAAGGTGTATACCGACCCTCTGGAGGTGTGACGATGATGACGACTGCTCAGACAACAGTGATGAAGAAAACTGCCGTAAGTGTCACGCATTGGCATAATTATGCTAAAAATTCTAGATAAGGTACACAACACTTGTACATTCATTTAACAATCCAACGATTTATTTAAAACTGTAATTTAAGTGTTTTTAATGCTTTTTAAAATGTATTATCAGCTCATTTAAGTGGATAAATAATAATTATCATCTTCCTATTGACGTCAATGGAGCAGAGATTGAATGCCTACATAGACTACTGAATACAGAATACAGGGAGACATGAAAGAGCCCTAATGAGGCATGGCTTTTTATATCATTTATAATTAAGGGACCAACAGGCAATTCACATGTGTTAAATGCTTTTGATGATATGTTGTGCAAAATCACACAAACATTTAATGTGTGATTGTTGTAGCGTGTTAGTAATTGCAAAGTTGCCTGTTAATAATGCTGTACAGATTTTCATCTATCTATCTATCTATCTATCTATCTATCTATCTATCTATCTATCTATCTATCTATCTATCTATCTATCTATCTATCATTTTCTAGACTCTGTTGTTTGTGCTCCTCAACACTAATATTCTACTTACATCATATATGATGGTGATTGGTAAGTTGTGATTAATGTGATGAGTTGTTTCAGCCCTAGCAACAATCTACAACTTGTTAGGACCAAAATTCACATGTGACTTACTGTGAGCAAACTTCACAGTAGAAAATCTTTTTTGGCACTCACGTTTCTTTTAATGAGTTGGGCCTACTAAATTAAGCTGTTTTTTGCATTGTTAGCTGACAATGTCATAAGTACTTATAATATATGAAGTAGAAAACTTGTTTGCTTTGTGAGATTCTGAATTTGTTTTTTGTGTGTAAATAATTGAAACTTCTTCCTGTTTTGATTTTGAGCCAGTGGCCTACTTATATTTGGAGATGCTAGTGAAGTTGTGCCAAAACAGTGCGTGTGCGTGGCCTGGCAGATTCCTTTGTGTCCGCTTTAATTGTGGCTCAGGAGAAATCCCTGCACCTCCCTCACACAGACATTCTCTGTGTATATATACTAGTACACAGTGTGTGTGTACACTGTACTGTTATTTGTCTCATTCTCCTGCGGCGCCCCCTGTATATACTGTATTTATATTGTATATATACTGTATACATACTTCTAAATGTCCCTGTGTGAATATCTTAGATGTGTTTGAATTGTTGCACTGGGCAGGATGTTCCCTCAGGCATGGCCAAGAAAAGCAGGTCATTTGGAGTATTGTCATTTTCAATAATTGATGTGTCATATAATTCTATACGCAGACAACACAATTATTATTTGGCTGGATATATTCAGCTGCCATGGGTTTGGAAATGGAAATTACATGGGAGCCATTCCCATGAAATGGGAGAGTAAAATGCTGTAACCACCAATATTGAGATAACAAAACAGACTGCCAGCATCCATTTTAACACACGTAGAGGTTCATTCATGTGAGGGCCAGCGAAATTAGGGTTATGCCAAGTTTCTGATGTGGTTGGATAAATACACCAGGAAATGTCATCCATCCATGTTCCTGTAAAAGACAGGGTTCAGGATTTTGGAATTTTCATTTTCATTTCAGTAGTTCCAATAACATTATATCAAAGTATTATCTATACAAGAAAACAGAAACAGGCAGATTAGATTAGTTTATTATGCAGTCCTGTCAGGTACGGTTTTAAAGCTCAAAGCTGTCTTCAAAAGCTCATAAAGTGCTTCTGCCACTCACTATTGACAGTTCAATATGAACGCGCCATTATAGTAGAAAAGGCTTTCAGTCTTTTTCTGTTCCTCCTGTGTGTGGGCAGGTAATGACTGATTATTCTACTATTCACTTTTTCTTGGTGTTGCTTTTACCTTGTTTGATTTGAGAGGTTTTCAGACTGTTTGAGAAAACAATTACTTGAACAGTTGAACACAATGAAAAACTCTTTACAATTCAAGCAATGGGCAAAGATAAACCTAAATTAAATTATAGCAGTTTTGTTCTGAATTTGTATGGGCTCTAGATCATAATGTTAGCCTCTGTTTTATTTCTACTATTTGTTTTATTATAGTTAAGGTCCACTTAAAATTTGTCCCATCACGCCTGGGCAACCTGTCAGGAGCAGTGGATGTTGCATTGGTGGAAAGTGTTTGTGCTTGCTTCAGGGCAGGAATGCTAACCACTTTTTAAACCATTTTTCTTTCCTGTCTTCCACTGTAGTATAAGTCACGAACTGCAGTGAGTGTGCAACAGAGCATTGTTATGAAATTTGCTGACAGGAATAAACATTTTCTGCAGCCTTGTATTCATGACTGCAGTCTCACCTTGTGTCTAAACTGAGGCTGTAGTTGACCCAGGACACACCTTTTAAGCACAAGAGGGATTTGGCTGCAGACCTCCGCCCAGACAACCGAACCCCAAGGAGGGCCCTCACATTTACAGAAAAAACAAGTCCAATCCACTTTCCTAACCTTAACCATTGCAAATGTGTGCCTAATCTTAAACAGACACTATGGCAGAACATTCACAGACAACTACATCTAATATTGCATATGCTATTTACTTATACTTATATATCTATATACTTTATTTATTTTTTTAGTTTTTCCTTGCAGAGAAGGAGGATCTAAGGACAGTTATCCATTTGCTCACTTTCTTTTGTTTCAAATTTAGTTTTTACTGAAAGAGCAGATCACACATTCCAACATACAGAATAAAACCACTATGTTCATGCTTTTCCATTTTTTACATATACAATCTTAGAACAATTGGGGGGGCAAGGGAACATAAAATAACTTTACATGAAATCTGATTTCACATATTCTGTCAGTTGTCTAAATCTCTTGTACAATGTCAATCCAGTTCTCAGTTGTTGGTCGCTCAGGTTTAAGCTCTTTCCTTGTTACTCTCTTTTTACTTATTTCTTGTTCTGGTTTTGTTAAAGTCATCAAGCAAAAAACAAAAAAAAAAAACTTTGCAGATGTTGGTGAATCTCTGGCCACACATGGATGATGTCACATTCACATTCCCCAAAAAATATGGAAATAATTGGCCATTTGCTTGTTTTCTATAAATGATGGTTAATCTGGCTGTTTGTTATTGACCACTGTTTGATTTTCTAACTTTCAGTCGGTAAGGTCCTCTAGGTGGATCTCTGCACTCAACCTTTTTTGAACACTGCTAGTACCAATGAAAAATCTAATATAATGTATGCTATATGATCTCTCCATCATTCCTGTGAAGTCCCCTCCCCCAGCCCTCCTCCAGACTGTGCACCCCCTCCCCCACCATCACACCGGGCTCCCCACTGACCATCGGTCTGTGCTTTGCTTCCATATAGTCACACAACTGCACATGCACCCTCAGCATATAATGCACAGTCACCAGATGCATGCCAGATGTTTTTCCTATTATATCAGGTTTTTACCATGCCACTCTTCACAGATACATCTTCTTATTTCACATGATTTAAAATGGCATTCTACCTGGATGACTGAGGGATTTTACACACAACAGCATGTTCATTTGAGATATTATAAGGTTGCTTAATATTTAGATAATAATATAAATTGATCCTAAGCTACAGGGATGATATGGCCAGCATTTGACACTAGACTGCAAGGGTGGTCCATATTGACCAAAAATAAGTCTTCTTTTTTAATAATAATGGATATTATTTAAATAATAATACTATCCTCTGGATACTGGGACTCTGTCATAACTATGTGAAATGTGTCCATCTGAATGATTTACTGTGTCGTGGATGAGCACCACTTGGAGTTTGTTTGTTTTTTTTCCTTTGGTGAAAAAAAGTTTGGACATATAACATCTGTTTCTGCCCAGTGAGATGTAATGTGTGGCAGTGTTACTGGAGGAGAATGTATTGAATTGATTTTTTGATTAAGTATGTTTTGTTTATCAAAATAAGACAAAGACAAAAATATTATCCAAATGAGTGAGTGAGCAGAACAATAGCATTTGCATGTGTTACTGTTTTTGTCCCGTAACCTTTCGCTAGTTCAGGTTTCAAGTCCAATATTGCACACTATTTTTACCATTGCTTTAGTATAATTTATGCATCAGTGTATTTTCATATGTATATACTATATAGTGCATGTACTACAGCTTTAATTCTGATTGAAATTGAAATTGAAATGTGCCTGAACTCCCTGTCTCTGTAAATGCCATCTTTGCATTGTAGGTTCTATCCCCTGTCAATCTCCTGAACATGGTGCTGGTGATGGTACAGATTTTCTGTTGATTACAATACAACAATTAACCATTAACCTTTCACATACATTTCCAAGTTTAACTTTTGTTTTTCTTCCTACACTAAGAGCACCATATGTGCCTGGTTAACATTGTTCATGTTCAGGTTTGTGTCTTTGTGGTTGAGCAGAGGCACAGATTAGAGCAGTGTCACAGCCTGGATCGGCATTCCTCTTTTTAGCTTTTCATCTTCACCACTGATAAAGATCTGTTTCATCTGTTCTTCATGAATCTTGCATGTACCTGCCCTGTAAAGCTCAGAGTCAGCAGCACAGTGCCCCCTGTGAGTCTAAACGCCTTTACGTTTGTGACACTGTGGCTCCTCTCCTCTCCTGCTGTTGTTTATCCGCTCACTCTAAAACCTTTCATTCAAGACACAGGTTCTTCCATGTTATAGTTGAGATCTGCCAATGCACAAAGCCTTTACATCCTCTAGAGAGACACTGTGAGACTCACACAGGCACAGGCTTTGGATGTGTGTTTCAAAGCAGCACAACACATTCAGATGTATTGTGAAAAATGTGTTTAGATTTTGAATTTTGATTATGGTACTTCAGATTTCTTAGCAACTGGCACGGACTCACATTCTGTTCAATTTACAAGATTAATTGGTTAGTTGATGGGTAATCGATTATTGATTAATTCTTAACCATCCTCTTAATGTCATTGTACTTTACACTGAAATAAACAAGCTGATTCTCAATAGTCACCAAACCATTATCAAAAGACAATCATTAAAAAAAAGACAAACTATAGACT